GTGATGCGCAACGTCGGAGATGTAGACACGCGCCGCAAGATATTCGGACACAGCTCGCCGTACCCATTCTACATCTCGCCGATGGGAACGATGGGCGCGATTCACGAAGCTGCTGAGCCAGAAATGATCCGAGGCGCAGTGCGAAAAGGCATCCACAAGGTCGTCAGTACTGCAAGCTCAAAAAGCAGCGAGCAGATCATGCAGAGCTATAAAGATGAGCAGAACAATCTTGGAAACAACAGCACGACGCAGTTGTTTTACCAGTACTACATGCCTGTCGACCGTAAGAAGGCTATTGAACTTATGCGCATCGTCAAGCGCTGCGGCTATAATGGTCTGTGGATAACAGTCGACACGCCTATCCTTGGGAAGCGAACGGCGGATCGCTATCTTCAAGCTGAAGAGGCACTGGCAGTGGGTCTCGCAGAAGAAAGTACAGCGGAATGGGAGACTGGCGGCGACAACGCTTTCGCACCCGCTATGGGTGGACGACCAGTACAAGGCCAACTGAGCCCACATACGACCTGGAAAGATCTTGAGTGGATTCGCAAGGAGTGGGATGGACCGATCGTTTTGAAGGGTGTGCAATGTGCGGAGGACGCGAAGCTTGCGATGGAGTATGGTTGTGATGGCATTCTGCTCAGTAACCATGGTGGTAGGCAATTACACACAGCGCCGAGTGCGCTCATGACGCTGCTGGAGATTCGAGCGTACTGTCCAGAAGTGCTGGGAAAACTAGAGGTCTTCCTCGATGGCGGTCTGAGAGATGGAAACGACGTGCTGAAGGCGTTGTGTCTGGGCGCCACAGCCGTCGGCGTAGGAAGACCCTTCCTATACGCGCTTGGAGCGTATGGGTCGAAGGGCGTCGAAAGATGTGTTGACAGTAAGTTTGGTCGTGTTTTAACCAGGGTAGTATACTGACATGCGATAGTTCTTGCGGATGAGCTGCAGACGGGTATGCGGTTGCTAGGCATCACATCACTGGATCAGTGCAGGCCTGATATGGTTAACGCGACGCGTCTGTTGAACGAAATGTGGCGACCAGAGCAGCTTGGCCTGAAGAGCAAGCTGTAAAGGTAGGGTGTATTGGTTACGTGGGTCATAGTTCCAAGTTCCAAGCTTAGCAAGCGAATGAAATGGAATTTGGACTGGACACAGCGTGCATTACCAATCCAATCAAGTTGAAGACAACGCTTGCATGGTTAAAGCATTGTAATCTGCCTTTCAGTGTTGTTACCGATGTCGCCGACCCCGCCGTCCATAGACGCGAAAATTTTCGACCCCTCATCCCCCACCCCACCAACTTGTTAACCGGTATATATGATTATATTTTGAGAATTTCTCCATCAACAGCAGTTATCCTGTGACGGACAGATGGCCGTGAGTCTTACCAATCATCTCCTGCAACATAACAAATACTAACAAGCCTTCTAGGAGCTGGTTATGGCGCCAGGTTAAGGTTTCTTAACGTTAAGTCTAAGAGAGCAATTTCTAAGACATCCTGGTCACGAAAGTGGCGTGGGTTCGAGTCCCACTCTGTTCAGCATTCGTCTGGCATTGTCAGATACTCCAGGATATTTTTTTTTGGTGTTTTGGGGGGTGAGCGTTGGTCACTGAGCTTGTGCTCTAACACCCTCCCGCCCGCTCCCTCCCCATCTAAATGGATGGAGGCTTAGCTTTTTGTACTCTGATATGAGTTGGTATGCTATTTAGACTTTGTTTTTGGTTGCATATAGTGCACGTCTATATTACGCTGCAATAGAGCTTAAGCATCACTTCAGGTCTTCTCACGTCAGGAAGAACTCGAAACAGCACGCGAATCGTTTTACATAAGGCTTTTTGAAAGCAGCATAGCTTATATAGTTGAACATGCTATTGTCTTACAGCTCAAATGTTGGTGTATCTCACTTTCTCGCAACAGCGACAAGCGCGACACAGGGAAAACCCTCCGCCTCGACCACATCCGCACCCTTCTGTCCATTCAATGGTCTCTGGATCTTCACTGCTGCCTTATTCCCAGCAAGGTTCAACTGCTTCGCGAATTCCTCATTCTCTGCATCCGTCCACTTCGGCCCCATATTCTTCCACATACCAAGCATGTAGCTGCAAGTCTCTTCCACAGTCTTCGATGCATAGTATACTGTCTTCTCGTGCATCTCAACATCCTTGAAACCCGCGCCTTGCATGACTTTCTTCATATGCGAAGCTTCGAGCCATTCGTCCGCGACAGGCCAACGGAATAAGGGGTCGTCTGGCTTGACGGCTTTCTGCGCTTCGTGCACGACAGCCATATGACCTGTAGACTTCCATGTAGTGACAGCAGCCGTTCCTCCTGGCTTGAGAGTGCGATAGATCTCAGCCGCACCCTTTTCTCCGTCAGAGAAGAACATGATACCCATGTTGGTGATGGAGTGTGTAAACGTCTCGTCAGGGAACGCCAGACTGACCCCATCCATCACGTCGAAGGATAGATCCGCCACGGGGGATGTAGTTGGAAGGGCACGGCGTGCTAGATCGACCATCGGTTTCGCGATATCGACACAGGCTGCCTTGAGTGGAGTGTCTGGGTATCGGTACAAAAGCTCTTGGGCAGCGATACCATTTCCGCATGCGTTGTCCAGTACGACGGAGTTCGAGTCGACCGCGGGCAACATGTCGATAAGGTGCATGGCAACTTCGCGGGTGCAGCCACCGGTTGCAGCCTCATAGGTCGATGCAAGCATCTCGAACATCTCGCTGGAGTTCATGTTGGGCTCGCTCATGATGATGATGGTACATTCGCTCTTGTATCTTGAGTGATACTATACAATAGACACCAGGTCAGCAAGGCACTTATATATGGCTTACTGCTGACGAAAAGACCGAGACCGAAGGATTGTGGCTGGGGCGGGGGTAGACGAGAACACGCGTAACGAGAAGTACGCCTGAAAATCTCCATGTTTCTTGTTGGACCGATTCGATGGAGGATTCTTAGGTGGACTTTGTTAAGAGATGTTCGGGTGTCCTTTTGGCTAGGGGCTCGTAGCTCGGAGACATTCACATACACCCTGGGGCCTGAACAAAGTCGCCGACTGCAGCTTGAGTCATCGTGCGCTTCCTGGACAAAACGAGCTAAAAGCGGGTGCAGTACGCCCCGTCCTTGCTCTAGCTGTATTGAGCAGATAGAAAGTTGACGATGAGTGCGTGCAGCGCAAAGAATGCTTACCCATCTATTCATAGAAAATTCCCACATCTGCTTCGCTATTCCGATCCATCCTAGCAAAAAGCTAAATCTGCGCTATTCACTCTCCCAAGTGATAAATATCGAAGTCTGTACCGTCAGTCCTCGAATGGATCGGACTAACCCAAAACCTTCCCGGGCGTACGCTTAAACCCCATCAGATTTTTGCATCCTCCTTGAACCTAATCAAACCATCCTGAAATGTCGTTGCAATATGCACGCCCCTCTCATAGTCCCACATACGGCTAGTATGTAGCGCTCTGCCTCCCGTAGCTCGAGTAAGCCACGCTTCTTGCATGAACCATTTCCGACCGTCCTTATCACCGCCCTTGTGCCCCTCGAGGTTGCAAAGTGGCAGCGGGCCATCTTCCCACAATGTCGCGTCAGCGTTCGGATGGTCGATCCGCGGTTCATTAGGCATGATGAGGGCCTTGATACCGACGTGGAAGATGACGCTGTGAGATAATGACGCCATGCGTTTGTAACCCCGAGGCCGGTCGAGATGGTTTGGCACAATGAAGAGCGAGTTACGATCCGATGCGTACAAGTGCGCACAGGCATGTATGTTGGCCTCTCGTGTCAATGTAAGCTTTTGGTCGAATTCCAAGTGAGGCGGATATGGTGCGGTAGGCAACGGAAGTGCACCGCGTAGTGTGTAGAAGGTCAATTGTCTACGATCGAGTGGATGACGGCTCTGATTGTACTTCGACATGTCGGCCTTGCGGATGTGCAAGCCGGCAATGGGGTTGAAGTGATCGGGATGAGCTGGAAGGTATGTTTCCCGGAAGTGTTCAGAGTCGTTGCTGGGAGCGGCAGCATGCTTCATCGGCTCATCCTCTTTGCCTTCTAGTGCGTCGCGATACACATCTTTCAGGTCAACACACTCTTGCATGTCGAAGGGTGAGCTCTCTTCCCGTTTGAATGAACAGGTACATGTGAACATATCTCCGTCGGCTGCGACCTGACTTACGGTCACGTTTCGTGTGCAATAATTGTAACCGTCTCGGATCTTTCGCACGCGATAGGTGTAGTGTTCATCCGGCTTGCCCCCTAGTACGAACCATCCGGTAATATTCTAACGTTTCGTTCAGTTTTGGTTCAAGCAGAAGGTGTTGCTACAGCTTACGTGTATGAGAAATCCTTCATCGACAGTCTGCGCAGCGGCCCATGCAGCTTGCGCAAACACGTGACCGCCATACGTACCGTTCTCACCACCAGTCGGTGAGTAAGCTTTGACAATGGAGCGAAATGTCCAATTGTCAATGCGTTCAAGTGCGATCACCTTTTCAAACGGCAGCACCTGCTTGTCAGCGGTAAAGTAGGGACGCACAACCATGGCAGCGGCGACAATATCTGATTAATGTGGGGATATGTTGTATGCTCGACAGAGGCCATCGTCGTGTTGGGCGAGTGCTGCGGTGTACAGCTGATGGAGATGTGGCTGGCGCTAATGAGTTACCTCGGAACGGGCGGGGTTCGGATGAATGACGGCGCAAGCTGTCAACCTCCGTCGCTAGGGATGGCTTCAATTCGTGTCGCATACTACCAGAAAAAGAGTGTGAGTAGAGTATACATTGTGTCACATACTACCTACTTGCTAAGATACGATGGTGTGTATGCAGCAACTTGAAAATGTCACACAAAATCTGGCCACTCCTGGTGCCGTTAGAGCAACAAGACATACACGGTTTGCGAGAGGCGCAACGAAATTTGAACGTCATGAAATGCTATGATGAGCATGCATGCATGCGTATGTACATGCCCAATAGGTCGCTTCCCCTCATCTTCCAGCCCTCTTCTTTAGCACCCAAAGCCGGACGAAGTAGAACACAAGACCACAGAGCCAAATTCCTACAAGGATCGCTGCTTGAATGGGCGCGAATACTGCGCCTCTGATTACGACGAAACCGCTGATTATGGCGAACAGTATAGGAATGAGGATGAACGGTTTCACAGGGCGGGGTAGGTCAGGCTCCCGAAATCTCAATATGATTGCGCCGAGGACCGTGAGGAAGAAGAAAGCGTACTCAGCAAGACCATTGAGAGTCAGCAAGATGCGCATGTTTCCAAGCAGAATGTATACTGCCGAGAGAACGGTGTTGAGTATGAGAGCGTTGCTAGCAGGTGTTAGTGGCGGATGAGTGACGTGACTGGTCTACGTACATTGGTGACTCTCCATCGTCCATAGCCGTGTCTACGGCCTCGCTCGAATCGTCACGTTTAGTCACCTTCAGGGTACCGACACGGCCGACAGTGCCGAGAACTTGCGGAAACCAGTTGTTGTTAGATGCAGCAACGGTCATTCGTCCTGCTACGAAGGAGTTGCCGAGGGCGGAGCCTGCAATGACAAGACATATGAGCACGGTAGCGAAGTAAGCTACGCCCTTTCCAAGAAAGTGGGTAACAGCCGTCTGAACCATATCAGTACACATGCGTTGAACAAGAACTTGAACTACTTACTACAGCAGCAGCGTCTGTTGTTGATACGACCTCCCAAGGGAGAAGAACGTAGTAGACGGCGTTAGCGGCAACATAGCATACTATGATCGTAGGGATAGCCGTGTTGATGGAGAGCGGTAGTTGGCGACTGGGCTGACGCAGCTCAGCTGCTACATAGTTGGCTTTGTCCCAACCGGAGTACGCCCACAAGGCTCCATACAACGCTGTACTGTAAAAGCCAAGTGACTCCCACGTAGTCACTTTCGACCAGTCAAATTTTGAGCCGTCGGGTAGTACCGTGTCTCTTGGAGAGAACCAATTGTTGTGGTGCCAATCGTGACCTCCATAGTCCTTGCTCTTCCCAAGAAAGACGAAGACTACCACTAAGCCAGATATGATAAGGAGGAAGATGGTAAATAGCTTGATGGCAACGAAGAAGCTAGACAACCGGGTACTTGTCTTGGTGCTTATGGAGTTCAACGTCGTTACACACAGTAGGACAAGCAGAGACAATAATTTATGCGTGATAGGCGGATCTGGCTCGTTCACACCCAAGCTGGAGTATATGGACTCCACAAACACAATACTGAGGATCGCGAGTGTAGCCGGCATGGTTGCCACGACCCAAGACCAAGCCGCCATGTATCCGAAGACGTCGCCATAGATGTATGTGAGATACGGCTGAATCCCACCTTCGCCAGGGAAGGCGGTGCCTAGCTCTGCCATGGTCAGAGCACCTGTCCATGCTAGAACACCTCCAACAAGCCATACAAGCAGTCCAGCGCCAGGTGATGGGACGTTCGCATCGATGGGCCCAGGCGATGAGAACACTCCCGAGCCGATGACGATGCTTATCAGCAGCGCGAACCCATCCAGTGCACCAAGATTGCGAGCAAATGTGTTTCGCGTCGCCGTAACGTCATCGTGTTCTTCGTCTGGGGCGTATGATGTCGTGGATTCTTGGCGGAGTAGAGGCGCCGTCTCTGAGGGGGTCATTATTGCGTTGTCGCGGTTGAGAGGTTTGGTGGGCTGGTCGTTGCCTTTGCCGAGGTTGTTACGCGTCACACGCGTCAACGTGGTGCGACTTGCACGCGTCCGATCCCTCTTGGGTTGCAGGAGTCGTAGGAATTTATCGCTTGTTGCTGAGTTCGAGCAACTGATATCGGATGCTTTAGTTGTGGGGGAGGACGAAGTGTTTGAGCTGGGCTAGGTAAGCGCGCGATGCTATCGCGTCAGGTTGAGCCTAACTTACGTCATCCCCTTTCCTCACCAGCCGCCGCGGCACTGAGACTGAGAGTTCACACTAAAGTCTTTGCAGAACTAAGAGGTTACACTTTTTTGATGCTCCACGCCACCCACATTTCTATTGGTATTATTCAGTGTAACGTCATCCCGCATCTTCACGGCCTGACAGCTTTCTTTTTCACATCTAGAACCTGCGACTCTGCAGCCAAGGTTCTAGCCCAGGCTCGTATTCAGCAAGTCGAGCGCATTCGAAAACAAATCTGTTCCATGAATTGAGAAGCCTGGAATGCCGTACATTCCGCGACCGCATTCTTAGGTGCAGCTTGACACAGGTCCTTTACGAAAGCAATGGGCTGTCTGACAGATGTGGTGTCAGCGAAGGGGCTCAAAGTCGACCCAAATTTATGTAATAGTCTTCTTGACAGCCGTGACAGGCCGGGTTGTAAAGACTACGGACAACATTGCAGCATCGATGAGAGTCGCCATATCTTGCGGAGAGTGCGGCGATTACAGACAGGAACGACTGCGACAGTAGACGAAGGAGTAACGTGTACTTGTCCGCGACCATGTTTAAGGGACAAGTGCGATGAACACCCTATGCATTGAGGCGATACCGGACTGGCGCAGTTGTGACTTAAGCAGAAACCTGTTCGCTAGCTTCCCTTCACATGGGAAATCGTGGGGAGGTAAGCTTAAATCTTAGTGCAATGACAGACCAATGACGCTGAGTGGGTGCCTCGACCGTTGCTGGCTTAGCGCGCTGTACAGGGCTTAGCGCTGCGCATCATCATGGCGACGTCATTCTCTGTGAACCCGCGGGCATGCAGTTTGCTTGCACCTGTTTAAAGCTGGTTCCCTTGTTGAACTTTCTTCTATCACACATTGCCTTTTTGCAAGCTACCCCTACCTTCCCAATTGCATTCCGACTGATATAGAATCAATTGACTTCCACAATCACCAGCACAGTCATGTTTTCGAGACAAGCAACCCAGAATGCGCGCTTTGCAGCTCGCTGTGCTCGCCGCCCAGCTGCGCGGATAAACAACCCTCAGTTCCGCTCCCAACAACCCCGCTTCCAGTCCACCGAGTCAGCAACCTCCGGCAACGCGGGCGCCGGCTCACATGCCGCCATCGGTGCCGCTTCTGGTGCCCTTGCAGCTGTCACAGTCGGCTACATCTTCTACAGACAGTCCGGCGCCCGTGACGTTGTGTTGGCCTCCAAGACTGCTAAAGGCTACGTCAACTCAGCTACACAGAAGATCAAGGAGCAGACACCCGAGCCCAACGAGGCGCTGCAATGGCTACGCAACGCTGCACAGAGCTACGCTGCCTTCATCCCCGGTGCAAAGGGCTACGTCGACTCTGCATTCGATGACCTAGATGCCATTCGCGCAAAGCATGGCAAGGAGGTCGACCAGATCGTCACCGAAGCATACGATGAGATGCGCCAGGTCCTGGGCAATGGCGACATGAGCCTTGTCACTGCACACAAGACCTGGGACGTCATCACCAAGCATATGAGCCGTATCGCAGATCTTGCCGGCGACGCATCGCAGCAGATCATGGACAACCACCCTCAACTCAAGGAGAAGGTCGGAGGCAACATCGACAAGCTCAAGGAGTACGGCGACAAGTACGGTCCTGAGGCCAAGAAGGAGGTCGACAGGACATGGAAGCAGATCAGCGACGTCGTCAAGACTGGCGTGAGTGCATCCAACATCGAGAAGATTCGCAGTATCGTGCAAGAGAAGGTTGAGAAGCTGAAGAAGATGGGCGACGAGGCCTGGGACAAGGGTATGGAGCAGGCTAAGCCCTACCTCGACAAGAACCCCCAGGTCAAGAAGATCGTCGAGGAGAACGCGGATGCGCTCAAGGGTGGAAACGTTCAAGAACTATACGAGCGCGTCAAATCTGCTGTTGAGAAGGGCGACACAGGCGACCTCGAGTCATACGTCAAGAGCGCCGCCAACAAGGCCAAGGATGCTGGTCTCGGTGACTACGAGCAGTACCTGAAGCAGATCCCCGGAGGCGACCAGATCATGCCCAAGCTGAGCCAACTCCAAGACGTCGCCCAGAAGCACGGCGATGAGGCCCAGAAGCTCTTCAAGGACACCATCTCAGAGATCTCCAGCATCCTTCAGAAGAAGGGTGACGAGGCGACGAAGTTGGCTGAGAAGGCCAAGGAGGACTCTAAGAAATAGATCGCCCGCCGTCCGGATGTCCCCGCGAGGTGGAAATTGTAATGACTAATTTACTTGTACAATATTGCATCACTGGCGTTGAGCATGTCTAGCGAAAAGTAATCAATTACAACTGATGACTCTTACTATCAATTACAACTGATGACTCTTACTCTGTACCGATGATCTCACTTCATGTCACTCTTTTATATCTATTTTATACCGCTCCTACCCATAGTTCGTACATTCTACGATATGAAGCCTTCTGACCTGGTCCGTTTGCGCAATTGGCTTCTCTGACTATAGTATTACAATATGACTTGCGTCAAGTAATATAGTCTTGTAATACCAGCGTACACATATCGTCATTGCATGCGCCACTCAATCACGTACCAGGTGGTGAGGCTGCGCTGAGACAGGTGCGGGGATGCAAGCCCATCACTGCCTATATGCAGGAACTATCCACTGCGCACACCGCATACCGTGTTGGGTTCTGGAATCCTCCATGCGGGGTGAGTTGGTCGGTGTACTTGGAGGTTGCACAAGACGTGGGCTTGCAGTGACATGCTTCTCAATGCAGTAGCTCGCAGCCTAAAGTTAAAACCACGAGCGGTGAGACAAGCGCATGGAAAATGCGATGTTCGTGGTAATAGAGGTAACAAAACAATACGTGAATCCGTCTTGTTGGGTTGCGGAGGATGTTGTCGCCAAACCGACCCCGCGATCCGCTAAGGGAATAGTGGGTCCAAGGTGAAGGAAAGTGGTGAGAGAGCTGCGACGGCGAACCTTCGTCCGCCCAATGGACCGGGCACGCTCCACCTGAGCAGCCAATGACGTAAACGCGCCTCCCCTGCTGCACCGCCCTCCCCTGACACCTGGCAGGCGCTACTACTCTATTTACTCCTCTCTCTCTCAACAAAACCCCAGCCTCTACGACTTCTCACTCCAATTCTCCACTTCTCTCTACCAAACTCCTTTCTTGCACGTCGATCGACACCACTACCACGACTATCCACCCAACTACTACACACTACACAACCGCAACCATGGGCAAGGTACGCGTTTCGGTGTTAACATGTACCCCGCCAGTACCCCGCTAACACGTGCATAGGCGAAGTACATCATGCTCGACTGCGACAACACGCTCGTCCAGTCTGAGCGTTTCGCGTTCGAGGCCTGCGCCGACCTCACCAACCAGGTCCTCGAGAAGCACAACATCTCCGACCGCTACACAGCTGAGTCATTGCTCGAGGACTTTGTCGGCCACAACTTCCGCGGCATGCTCAATGGCCTGCAGAAGAAGCACAACTTCAAGATGGACGACGCCGAGATGGAGGACTTTGTCGCGCAAGAACTCGGCGCCGTTACCCTCAAGCTCAGCCAGAAGGCCGTCGAGTGCCCTGGTGTGACCGAGCAGCTCAACAAGCTCAAGGAGCAGGGCTACCCCATGTCTGTTGTCTCTACTTCCGCCAAGAGCCGTGTCGTCGCCTCCATCGAGAAGGCCGGCATCGCCCACTTCTTCCCTCCCGAGCACGTCTACTCCGCCGCCACCTCACTCGACCCCCCCTCCTCCAAGCCCGACCCCAAGATCTACCTGTACGCTGCTGAGCAGCTCGGTGTCAAGCCTTCCGAGGCCGTCACCGTCGAGGACAGCAAGAGCGGTGCCACTGCTGCCATGCGCGCGGGCATCCCTTGCATCGGCTACGTTGGCATCTACGGCATCGAGGAGGGCAAGGAGAAGATGGAACAGATGGCCAAGCTCCTCACCGAGGAGACCAAGTGCGCGGCCATCATGTACGACTGGAAGGAGTTCCCGGAGTGCCTGAAGAAGGTCGAGGCCAAGTTGTAAGTGCTTGGTCCGACACTGGGGAGCCGAGGAAGATGAACATTTCACCATATCTCCCCGCCATTGCGGGAGAGCTTACGACCAGATTCACGACATCAATGACTAAATAGATTCAGTAATGAAGATTTAGTGGACACAGTCCCATTCACAACAGCTACCTGCTACCTGCCGCTTCCTCTCCTATGTTGATTGTTTTGTTTGGTGACGCAATGGTGGGCCCCGCGCCGTTCAGTGGGCAGGCGTTCCAGGCTCGGGTGACGGCCCAACGCTGCCCCGCTCTCCCCCACTTGAGACCCATTGTGACCCATCGTGAACTGCAAACTCCATCGCGAAATATCCCGAACATCGAACATTTGCCTTTGCCATCCCAGATCTCTAGCGCTGCATTCGCGCGAGGTCAATCTCTGCTACTCACGTGCATGCAAGTGAGCAAATTTGAACGGCCACTGTGGCACTGGCCAGAGCCCCAACACCCTACGGCCCGGCGCGCTCATCCCTCAGCCCTATTATTAATGCCTGCCAGCTTATTGCTGACATTAACGAGCTTGTTGTATCGACACAAGTGAACAGCCTGCAGCTCTCACGCGAATTTTCCAGCCGAATCACGCGATGGAGCCGCTCCCGCCCGTCGCCGCTTGAGCCTCACATGCACCCCATTCGGTGGAAAACCACGAAAACTAAACAACCATCTCCGCGAAGAACAATGATTTTACACCAAAAGAGCT